GATCGGTCACCCCGCTTTGTTCCAGGACCTCGCTATTTACAAATTAAGCACTACCGATTACAATACACAGAAAACACAAATTGAGATTTTTTTGGTTTGATGTTTATTTGAGTCGCAGTTACACATCAAGACTGTGGTGGGCAATGCTGGTGTCTTAAATTGAACAAAATAATAGCAAATAAAACTAAACATTTGCTTTGGTTTGACCTGAGGTTAAGGGCGAGAGAGGGTGATACTCTACATGTTAATTGGGGTGGCTGTATGGCTCTATTCCACAACCTAGGGAACTGCCTACCTAGGCAGCATTTTAAGGTATCATAGGTGTACTCCCGATGATAAGGCTGTTCCAAAAGGTAGGCAGCTTTTGTTTCACTGCCTCCTACGATACCGAGACGTGGAAAAATTCTAAGGCAGCATTGCAAGTATCTTTTGCAGAGAAGGCACTCCCAGAGTAAGAATATCCATCCAAGATGGCAGACGAAGCAAAAGAAAATGCAGAATATAAAATATAAAACTGAAAAATGTACCATTTGTATGCTTTCTCTTTTTATGATTATAAATTTATGAACACACTTCGTTAGCTTAGCAACATGGTAACACCAAACTCTTTGGAAACCATTTGTTGAACAGAGATTCCCCAAGTGCACTTTGTAAGTAGCTCTAGGTAGAATGTTCCAAATCAATTGCTTAAGAAGTTCAGTTTCAGTAAGGATGGTGCCCTAGAAGGCTCACTAGGTTTTGGAATAGAGTCTGTGAATCCAATTAAAACTGGCAGTTAATGTTTTCTGTGTCAAGGTTCTCAGTTACAAAATTTATTTTTGTGTGAGGGGGGAATATGAGGCATTTAATTTTTGGCTTCCCAAGTTTTCAGATAGTAAAGGCCAAAGGCAATGGTGCAAGAAGTTAACAGCGCAGCACTAAGAATCTCGTCAATAGCAGGTAGGAGGCAAAACTGGAGCAGGTCCGAGGCAGAAATGGATAGAACGTGCGGAATGTTTGAAAGGTTTCAAGAGGATCTATCGGCGTGTTTCTTTCTGCTGGTCTTCTCAATCATGGTCTCCACCACTGTGGTTGTCTCTTCATAGCCCTTCACTTTTTTGTCATGTGAGAGCTTCTCCACCGACTCCACTACTTCTACCTTCTCGTAAGTCATGGAGTCAGGAGGGATGGAACTGGGCGATGGCATGGGTGGAGGGTGTTGGAAGCTGCTGGGATCGTCCGAGGTCTTGCCCTTGCCGCCACGTTGGGGTGAGGGCTGCCTGGGGCCTGGCGGAGGGCTGGGGCCTTTGTCGTCATGAGGGCCTGGCGGTGGGCTGGGGCTCGGTTCTGGTTCTTTCATCTTTGGATGAGGCTCTCCACTTTTGGATTTTGCCCTCTCCCCATTTCCACCCTCCTTCCTACCTCCATCGTCTTTTCCCGTTTCTGGTTCTGAAGGTGTGGAAGGGGTTAAGGGTGTTGGTCCAGAAGGGGTGCTCGGGACAGGTGAAGGTGTACCTCTCCAGTATGGATCATAAGGCATCATGCCATCTTGGATTGTGACGTAGACGTGACTAGCAGAAGGAGTGGTTGAAAAGAAGCAGGGGTCCAGGTAGCTAGAGTCACCTGTCACTAGTACATAGCGTCCCCTGGTGAAGAAGTCAGCGATCGGCTCTGGCCTCTGTACCCGCCTCATGCGGTCGCGTATGATGTTACAGAGTGTGTCAAAGGCTTTGCTGATCTGGGCACCATCAGGCACATCCTCACGAAGAACATGCTCCTCGCTTCCCACCCCCTGCTCCTCCATCAGTCCTTTTTCGTCCTCTTCAAATTCTTCGGCTGGCTTATCCTCAAGTCGACTAGGTCCTTTGGATGTGATCTCTTTCTTTTTAAACACTTTCTTAGCCAAGTACTTCTGACGAGGTTTTACGTTGGTGATGTCTTGGATGACTTGGGTGATATCTAAAAAGCAGATAACAGACAAGCTTTTAAAGAAATGTGGGCATAACATTGTTGTGTTGTAAATAAAGAATTTCCAAAATATGCTCTGGCCAAGGCATGAAACATACTCTAAAATGATTGACGCTGCAAAAATATGAAGTGTAGCTACAAAGCATGCATTATATTCTCAACTGCCTAAATGGGCAACTCTAGCGGGCATTCATGTAAACTTCTACAGCCAATTTTTGGCACAGATATTTGTAGTTGCCACTGCGGCACAGAGTGCTCACAAGTATGCTCAATGTGTCGACTATGTGCTTGCAATGCACTGATGAAATGTAATTTCCTGGAACTGGCTTTTGTAAGTCAAGGGGTGTTCTCAGCCACAAATTTCACACCCATGAACTGCCCACTCTCCTATCACTGAATGTCGGGCCCTGTCCCAAATGGCACACTTCATGTAAACTTGCATAGGGTGTCCATTCATCATTTTAGAGTTCAGAAGTGTGCTTGTGAGTGCCCCCTTTGCGGCTGGTTGTTATGTGCCCTTGATGTGCACTTCTGCCGAAACTGCAATGAGGCAAGCTTGCAGCACTACATCGCCACAGTGCAAACTCAGAGGAAGACCTCAAGGGTTTGGTGTGCCATTTGGGACAGGGCCTCAGATGCATATAGCACACTAAACATAAGGCAGAACTCTAAATCAAACTGGCTGACTTCTATAGGTGCTCCAGGAACCCATTGTGTGGCAAACTTTACGGTCCAGCAGGAAACAAAAGCTGTGTTTACAAGTTCCAGGACTGCAGCAATGAGAGCTTCAGAGGAGCAACTAAATGCTGCATTTAAAAAGTTTGTGAAGTTCCCAACTCTTTAAAAGACATTGAAATGTTTTGTTTGAAGTACTTTCATTTAAATTTAAAAGACGTGTTTACATTTACCCAAGGTATACAAGAAAAGTATAATTTTCCAAGCTTGGCCTACCCTTTGGATTCCCAAGTGATTTCATTTAACTAGTCCTCTCAAACTAGTTAGAAGATCAGGTGAAGCACCTCAATGAGAAGCAAATATCTTCGGCATATGCAGGTAAACAAGAAAGTACTGACAGTCTATACAGCTTGCCAGTCTATCATTCTTTATCATTTTATACTCTGCCTTATGGCAACAGACAAAGTCTGGCTACATTAGACGTTTACAGTGAACTAACGGGATGGAAATTGATATTGATGACATAGGGCAAATCTATACTTCATTACCAATATTTACATAACATCTTTTGTTTCAAAAATTTCATTAGAGGAAGGAAACATGTTAGAAACATATGAAATATTTCTAAACTAACTGGCTTTTTTCTATTTTAGAACGTTAATATATATATATTAGGGGTGTAGCGGTTCGCAAAAATCACGGTTTGGTTCAATACGATACAGTGGTGTCACTGTTTCGATACAGCAAAAAGAAAGAAATGCCAGAGAAATTTCCTTGATTTTTACAAATTGCTTAATTTATTAAAACAAATTTTTTACTCTGAACAATGATGGAGCTATACTTGGCCCATCTTCTGGGGTGTCTTCTTAGCAGCATATAAAACAAAAACAGCTCCGGTTTGAAGTATTCCAGCTGATGTAGCCTATTGTCATGTAGCAGATTAATCTTTTCCAATAAGTGTAAATAGATTTTTACCTTTTATGGGCGTTTTTTACCTTTATAAAGTTTTTTTTTTATGTGCATCACCTTTTGAGTCTTTTTTCTCTCTTTCATTTAATAAGCCAATAAGACATCTGGGCTGTTGCCGAGCAAATGGAGTCAGTATTGACTAAATTCATCTTTGCAATGCAGAGGAAACACAGAGGTTGCATCTGAATGGCATTTAGATGCTTTCACACACTGTTTAATGCAGCTCAGAGAGACATGTAATGCTTTAACCTGCCGTTACAAATGCATAAATAATGTTTTGATATTTTAAACATTAAACGTTGACAACTGATGTTTGAAATTAATAAAAAAACTTAAAAGATCATTTAAATGTGAAATTAAAAACGCCAGCAGGTGGCAGCAAGTCACTGTTAATAAGTGAGTCATTGCGACTGAACCGAATCATTTAAAGGTTGATTCATTCAGGAACGAAACACCATGTTGCTAAGAGACTGTGTTTGGATTTATTTTTGTTGGCGAAATTTAGCAAAAACAGGCAATATGGTGTCTAAAACGTAAGTCTATTAATTAACTTCTTGTTTATTGAACTGTTGTAAAAATCATTTGTAATCATGCTGATATTTGGAGAGAGAAAAAACAGCACTATTCGTGTGATATTGATTAACTATATGAAGTTATGTACATTTCTGTCCCCATATCTTGAATTTTGTGATCATTCTAAATGCATTTTAATAGACTGAATTATGCAGTGAAAGAACACTCTCTCTATGCGCATGTGCACTAATCTAACCTAATAGAATAATATGCTGTAATAGGAGGATTAGTCCAACGAATCGTTCGGTTTGTAATGAGTACTGAACCAAAAGCCTCGTACCGAACGGTTCAATACGAATATGTGTATCGTTACACCCCTAATATATATATATAAAGATTATAACAAGATTATAATTTAAGCCAATATAAAAAGACAAATATACTGGACAAACCTAAACTATTTTCTTTCTTTTTAGGAAACGTTTTGTGGCTCTCAACAAACAGCAGTTACTCGCTACGATTCCATGAGTGCAGACATAAAGGTCTTAGTCATTTATCATTGTTAACAGGGCCAA